CCCAGACCAAAAAATAACAAAACCAAAAACCAAAACCCAATCAAACAACCACCGTAGTTCCTGTAACATAGATCTCTAGAGCATGTGCGTCTGTGTAGCTGGATGGCATTTCTCCTGTGTTTTTCAAGACAAAATGCATTGTAGTTGACTCTAGTTCAAGTGATGTTTTGAGTTCCAGAATCCTTAGAGAAAAAATCTATGTTCTTTTCCGCTTCACCCTTGTGGAGATTAGTGTCTCTTCAGCACTCACTTCCATCTCTGATACTATGCCATTGGAGAATTTCCAGGAATCTGGATTTTTCTTTCAGGGCTTTTTAACCGTAGGATGTTTCCTTAGAAATTCAGGACAGACTTTTGAATAGCTGAAGTAAAAAATACTGGAAGCCTTGTAAATTCAGTAGATATATATACATATATTTTAATGTGTAGAAATAAACTTGTTTCTGTTGTCCCATCCAATGATGTAATTCCATCTTAAGAGTCTTTCTGACTTCTAAGAGAAATACCTATTTCAGCAATGTGTATTGTTGAAAGGGTCTGCCTTTAAAGAATCTTTGTAAGATCACATTTTTATAAATTGGATCAGCCTTTCTTGAATTTTTGGAATATAATCTATTGGAAGTCTCAGAATTTGCCATTTAGATAGAACACTGCCTGTTTATTAGCTGGTTTATGATGCTGTAACTTGCAAAGTAATTTATAAAGTTAAAAAAGAACAGACTGCCCCGAGAAGTCTTGTGATCTAGCTCTCCTATAATGCAAATAGGAGAATACTTTATGCAAGAGCAGATGGAGACATGGGATGGGGTGGTGAAAAAACAACTGAGAAAAATATTGGAAGATGTGTTTTCAAGAGAGGTGGGAGACAGGCCTTGTGGTACAATCTGAGGAGAAAGATTTTTCAACTGGAAAGGCCTTGGAATCAAAACTGAAAACTAAGGGTAAAGGGAAGGGGAATTAAATACTGAGGAAAACTTGGAAAAGTAAAAAAAACCAACCGAAAAAAACCCCAAATAAACCCAACAAAAACAAACTAGCAAAAACACAACCAACGCATAAATGATTTAGAGTACTAGTGTTTTATTGGAATGCTTTTATTTACTTATTTATTTTAATACTCCTAAAAGTGCTTTCTTTTTTCAACTGATAAAAATGTTTTTTAATATGCCATTGTCCTTGCAGAGCTTATAGGATTGGCCAATACAAACCTGTTAAAGTGTTTAGATTGATATCCTTGGGAACTGTGGAGGAGATGATGTACTTGCGACAAGTTTATAAACAGGTAATGTTCAGAAACTATTTAAATTGGGATCTCTTTTAAGCAGTTTCAGTGACTGAAAGCAAAGTTAGCCTATAGCAAAATCGCAGTTTACCTCAGTTTTATGATAGATGCTGTTAACTTATTATGCAAAGATGTAATTGTTAAAGAATAAAACAATTATATTTGTATTTGAGTTTTTCTGTAACTTTGAACAGCTTAATTATACAGTATACATTTATCAGGTTATAGACAAAACTTTAAGACTTGTAAAATATATTTTTGAGATTTGTAGTTAGTATCTGCAGCAGTCTGATTTAGGCGGCTTTTTCTCATGAAGGGTTGGAGAAAGTCGAGCAAAAATCTTGCTGGTGCTATGGAAGAAAAGCAAGAAGGCATTGCTACTCTCCTGCCTGTAAAAACATGCTTGTAAAAGAAGGGAAGGCCAGCTTGTAGTTCTGCTATTATGAAGAGAAGAAGTAATGTTGCTTGTCAGAATACTGAACCTTGGAACACTTGCTCTTTCTTAATTTTGCTAGTTGCATTGGTAAGTTTAAAAACCTAAGACTAGGAAAACCAAAAGTTTGAGGAACGCAGAATCTAGCAACTGTTTCCCAGTGAGGTCAGAATAATAGCTTGGTTAATAGCTTGTCTTCAAACTGGCGACCTGTCACTAGTTGGGTCCCACAGGGTCTGATGTTGGGCCCAAGTCTGCTTAGTACCTTCATAAGCGATCTGGAAGGTGGGAGCAGGTGTACCCTGATTGTCTTTGCTGATGATACCAAACTGAGTCAGGAAATGGACACTTTGTAAGAGGGAGTCAGTCTGCAGGAGGACCTGGATAGGCTGGAAAAGTGGGCAGACCAGAACCGTATGAAGTTCATCAAGGAAAAGTGGAAGATCTTGCACCTGGCTAAACACAGTCCAAGAGTGCAGCACAGGCTGGGATCTACCTGGCTGGGGAGCAGCTCTGTGGAAAGGGACTGAGGGTCCTGCTGGACAACAAGCTCAATATGAGTGAACAGTGTACAGCTGCAGCAAAGAAAGCCAACAAGATGCTGAGTTACACCAACAAGGACATCGCCAGCAGAGATAAGGAAGTCATTATCCTTCTCCTTGCGTGTTAGGTCACACGTGGAATACTGTATTCAGTTTTGGTCCCTGCCATACAAAAATGATGCGGATAGGCTGGAATGGGTCCAGAGAAGTGCCATGACAATTATCAGAGGACTGGGAAGCCTGCTATGTGAGGAAAGGCTGAGAGAGCTGGGCTTGTTCAGCCTTGAGAAAAGAAGGCTCGGGAGACTTTATCACCATGTTCCAGTATTTAAAGGAAGCTGGAGACTCCCTTTTTACAAGAAGTCTTGGAAAAGACAAGGGGTAATGGGCATCTGTTACTCCCAGAGAGATTCTAATTGGACACCAGGGGAGAATTTTTCTCAGCGAGAACAGTCATCCATTTGAATGATCTCCCCAGGGAAGCAGTGGATTCCCCAGCATTGGATGCATTTAAGATATGGCCAGACAGGGTGCTGGGACATTTTGCTAGACCATGCTTTTGCCAGGGTGCTCCTTGAGGTCCCTCCCAACCGGGTATTCTGTGATTCTACAATAATTTTGTTTTCAAACACATCAGGAGCAGGAATTGCACTGCTGTATGGGCTCCTTTAAGCAAGGTCTAAAGGAGTGTTCATAGCCAAAAAACTAGTTGATTTGTTCTTTATATCCACATTCATGGAAAAGCTTAGAGAGCATCCAGTTTAAAGTTTCTGTCATGCAAAGCACTTAAAAGTATTCATTTCAACAGCAAATATCAGTAGGTGAGATCTCAGGCTAACAAAATGAGCAACAGCAATTTACCACCAGCTGTATTCACTAAAATCCTGGAGGAGGAGAGTCATGCTTCACAGAGGTTTTTGCAGTTGGTAAGCTTGTAGATAAAGAAGACCTGGATATTGTCTGTTTGATTTTCCAAAAGACGTCTATAAAAACTTCTTGAAAGGCTTATGTGGTTGGTTTGGTTTTGTGGTGGCTTTCCCACCCGCCCCCCAACTTGACTTGTGTTTCTCAGGTTGAATAGGAAGCAATAAACACAATAAATGTAGAATTTTAATTTTTTTTAGTCTGCACTTGGATTGCATTCCCTCCTATTGATACCAGCACAGTTAGGAAATTTTCAGTAAGTTTTGAAGCAAATGCTTTTTTTACTGCTATTGAAAGTTCAGAAACCAAGAGTAATTGTGGACATGTAGCTTTTGGTGAACTCTACAAGTGTGCTCTCGGAGAGCTAAATGTTGTCATCGGTGCTTTTCAGGAAATGAATTTATGTGAAAATGCTTTATCATGTTTGTAGTGTATTCTTACCAAGGGATCTATTTGACTTTAAAATTTCTAAATTTTTTTTTATTACTGGTGTTTGATTGTGTGATGTAGTCGTTTGTGATTAAATAATCTGATGTAAATAGAATTGAAATCTAGCATAATAGAAACCCAGATAAGTTATATATGTATCTTAAAGTATACTTTTGTAAATAAAATTAGTAAGTCAAGAAAGATGTAAACTTTGCTTAGCTAAAGTTAAACTAGATTTTGACTATACAGTTACTGGCCTGTATAATTCCAGGGATGTGCTGTCCAGGAAAATGCCTATTGAGTGCTAGAACTAGGAGTAGAATTTAAGAACTACCAGCTGCTTAGAGACTGTTAAAAAAATATTATAGGTCTTGTATGCATAAAACCATGGTTTTGATGTTCTTCCATTTGAAGTCAAATAGACCAATTATGTAAGTATTGAAAATCTACAGTCATTGAAATGCAGCTAAACCTGCCTGACTTCAAAAATGTTTTAATTCTGCCTGACAAACCATTTCCTTGTTTTTCCTTTTTACGTAGAAGTTTTTTAAGTCACTTCTGTTCAGTCTACATAGAATGCATGATAATTAAAATATTCAGAGATCATTTGGAGTAATCTTGTGGCCTTATTTAGTCCTTACTGAGTAAGCATACAATGCAAAGGACTATGGAAAAATTAGCAAGAATTTAGTACTGAGGAAAGATGAGCAGTCAAGATACAGAGAAGTGTCAGTAGTGTGTACAGTAGATGTGTGATACTAGACAACAATGAAGTAAAAGACTTGAAATATTTTTCGTTTTTTATTCAGTAAAACCAAGCAGGTTCATATTATAGCACAATCTATTATACCGACATCTGCCAGGAAAATTAAAACAAAATATCCTCCCTTAGGAATTTTTGCCTGCTCCAACTAAAGCTGTGTATATAATGTGGATGCCAGGAAATTCTGATGAGTGGTTGGAGCAAACACTTCTGAAATCTCTTGTGTTGTTCTGTTTTAGCAACTTCACTGTGCAGTGGTTGGAAGTGAAAATGCCAAGCGGTATTTTGAGGCAGTGCAAGGATCAAAGGAACATCAAGGAGAGCTTTTTGGGATCCATAATCTCTTCAAACTCAGGACTCATGGGTCCTGTCTTACCAAAGACATCCTGGAGGTGTGAAGTTTTACCCTTTTACTTTTGGATATTAGTTTTACTTTTTTCCTTTCCTCATGAGATATTTTGTTATAATTTTGAATGGAAATGCTTTATAAAGCCGTATGGTGAAATTTAGACAGTACCTGTCTAGGAGTGCCTTAAATGAAACAGGCATGCTAATTTCTGACTCTGATGTAGACCAGCTGAATTTCCTTAAATCAAACAAAAAAACTGGGAAAAGTTCTGATTATAATTTTCAAAAGTTTGCCAGTATAGTTCTTTTCCTAATAAAAATGCCATAACTTATCGTTGTGATACTTCCATATATTGTCAACACTGTGTGCAGGTACCTTTTATTCATCAGTAGATCAGTGACCTTTTAAGCCAGAATTCTGATTATAGGAATACTTTTTTATGTTCACAGTAACCTTTACATAGTACATTTTGAGGTGTCAAAAACTGTCTGATAACATATGTTTTAGAATGCTGTATTTAAAAATATTACAGGGTGAAGTAAATAACTGGGGCTTCATGTCTTAATTTCTTAGTTACTCTGAAAAAAGTCTTTCTGGTCCAGTTCCACAATGTATAGTGCAAACTGATTTTCAGTATATGCAGTATCCAGTATGTTTGCTGCAGCTAACTTGCATCTTGGAGTTTATTGCAGCTTTATGCTAGATTTCTTTCCCTCTGTTGTGTTATTTGCCTTGCTAGGGAGGAGGCTTGGGAATATAATACAGTAATGCAAAGGTAGCATAGCCAAAAGAGTAACTTTGGGGATATTAAGCTCAAAACTTCTCTAAATTAAATTAAAACATGGCATGTAATATGATCATTGAAGGAGGTATTCTGCTTTAGGAAAAAAGTTTAAAATTACTAAAGTAGTGTGTGAGTAAGATCCTACAAATTTATGCAGTATGTTGCTTTTACAGGAGGATATGCGTTAGATCAAAGAGCAGCAACTGTATTGCCAAAATACAAACCTTTTCTTGCTGATTGTATTTCTGGTGCTCAGACCTCTCTAAAAAGAAAGAAAAACTGGTCTTGCCTTTGTTAACTTGAACAGATAACAATTTTTATTACAAGCTTTCTTAACTGTTCTAGAGGGAAGGGCGAGTAGAAGCAGGAGTCATAACAGCAACTACGTGGCTAAAGGAAGAGACTTCTCCATGCAGCTCAGAAAAGGTAAGGACTATGAACCAGAGCATGATAGTCCCTCTGGTTCCTGATATTGTAGTGGCAAGTATGGATGGTATGTAACTAGGCTGATAATACTTTTACCTTAGATTGAATTTGCTATCTTTTATTGCTTGCTTGCCCCTGGTTTTACATATTGTTAAGTATTTGATAATATCATGCTCTCATTCTGTATTTGAAGTGGGATATTCTGAACATCTGGTAATATGGTATTCTGTGACCTTTACAACACTTGGATATCATATCCTTAATGTGAATTAAGGTTTTACTAATATGCTGTTATAAGAGAGCAATATTGTTTACTGAAACTTCGAATCGTAGAACGGTTTGGGTTGGAAGGGACCTTAAAGATCATCCAGTTCCAACTGTCTGTCCTGGGCAGGGACACCTTCCACTAGACCAGGTTGCTCCAAGCCCCTTCCAGCCTGGCCTTGAACACATCGGGCAGGGGGCAGCCACAGCCTCTCTGGGGAACCTGTTCCAGTGCCTTACCACCTGCACAGCACAGAATTTCTTCCTAATATCTAATCTAAATCTACCCTCTGTCAGTTTAAAGCCATTGCCCCTTGTTCTGTCACTACATGCACTTGTAAAAAGTCTCTTCAGATTTCTTGTAGGCCGCCTGTAGGTATTGCTCTGTAATGTCTTAGGCCTTATGATAGATAAGAGATGACGTAACAACAGATTTCTGACCAAGACGTCAGTTGAGAATCTGACACTTACTGTTTAGAAGATTTTGGTTAGGAAACTGTGGAAAGGAGTACAGTTAATTTAGAGGACTGAAAACTTGCTTCAGGTTTTGTGGACCTCTGTTTTGGTTTTCTTTGGAGTGGGGATTTTTTTGGTTTGTTTTGGGGTTCTTTTTCTGGGGGTTTATTGTTTTGTGGGCTTTTTTTTTTTTTTTTTTTTTTCTTTCGCATAAGTTCTGTACCTGACAGTTCTTTCTAGAACAAGACTTTCTTTTTTTTCTTTTTAATTTTTTTTTTCCTCCTCCCCCTCTCCCCCCAAGAAGCTTGGGTCATTTTTATGAATGTTTTTAACTGTACACTGTTCATGTGCTTTGGGAAAGGAACAGTTAGATCTACTGTATGGCATTGTAAGCATGAAAATATTGTTAGATTAGATCACACTGCATGGTACTAAAAATCGGTCACTGTCTCTTACGCTTTTGGAGATTTCTGTGGGTAAATGTCAGTATTTCAATCAGTATGCTGTCACATTCATCATAACCTTGCATTGCTGTTACATTACTGTATTGTCATGATCTCACATTGGTCTTGGTGACAAACTAACTTTTTTAGCTTATGTTAAATAGGACGATACCAGGATTAATACGTTAATTTTAAAACTTCATGTAAAAAGATATTAGTATTTACCCTTCAGGCTTTACATATTATCACAGTTCTTGTCTCAGTAGTACATAATTCTAGAGCTGTATTTTGGACTTCTGTGTATTAAAAATGTTTTTAAGAGTGCGTAGGGGTAATTTTGTTTGATTGCAGTAGGCCTCAACTAATTTTAGTGCAGAATGTTATGTACTTGTTGCTCTTTTAAACTGCTAGCCCCCATATACAAGGAGATTGACCACTGCTGTGAGGTTATTTTTCATATGAATGTTATTATACAGTATTTAGGTTTGAGTCATGCACTCATTTTTCAGACTACCTTTGAAAGATGAAAAGTGGCAACAAGATTAGTGTAAACCAGCTGGGTTTAAACCATGACATTGTGTAATACTGTTTTATACTTTTTTTTTTTTTTTTTGGTTAACATAGTGAAAACCCACTTTTTTTTACACTGCTTTGGAATTAGGGTTTAAAAATTTTTTAAAATACTTTTGCTGTAATTTCTTTTTAGTATGAACAACCAGACTGTAGAGAAGATAGAAATTCCCAAAGCATTCAGGCACAGTTAATAAGAAAAGAAACGGACTTTTGTGATGACTTTAGTGATGATGATATTCTGGAAACTTCCATGAAAAAATGTGACAGAAGGAAGCCTTGCAATGCAAATAATTCAGTGGCAACCAAGGGACAGCTTTCCTTAGTGCAGTGTGGATTCTCTAAGTTGTTGCAGAGAGAAGTTGAAACTACCAAAGAAGAGGAGAAAAATTACGACTCTCATCATTCCAATTCTGATGATCAGACTTCAAGAACAAATGTAAATAGTAAACACAGTGATTTTCAGAAATGTCAAAGCCATGTGTCTGTTCTGGAGCATGGGAACACTGCTGAGTCACCAGATGGAACTGATAAACAAAATATGTGTAGTACAGACTGGCTTGTTTTATCAGGCTCTGAGGAGGAAGGGGACATAGAAAGTGATGATCAAGGCATTTCAAAGCACAGTAATACAGTCATGGATACTGAAAACAGTTCTGAAGATGATGATGACATCATCTTTCCTACCCAAGTTTCAGCATGCCAGCAAACACTGCTTACTAAAAAAGTTGAATTACGCAGGTTAACATCTGAAAATTGTGAAGAGTTAGCAAAAGAAAAACATGGGTTTTTATTTAAGGAAGACAGTAGGCAATTTGGATTCCATAACAGTGAGTCAAATTTGACCAAAACTATGTCTTTTGAAGACATCCAGAACAGCACAAGAGAATTGAAAGGAGCAAGTGACGTAAGTGATGAGTCCGATGATATTGAGATTTCCCATAATTCTAAATCAAGAAAGTCAAGAACTTGTAGCTTTCCAAAATGGAAAGAAAGATATGCCCATAACAACGAACAAGATAATGTCTCAAAACCTCCGCTTCAAACAAAGAAGACCAATAGAAAAGAAAAGGAAAGTGATTCCCAGAATATAGAGGAATTTTCATCATCTGAAGACAACTTGCCAGTTGAGAAAACACATGCTAGAAAGCAAAGCTATAAGCATAAAAAACAGAGAGGTAGAGTTCGGTTTGGGTCTAAAATACTCTATCCTATTCAAGATACCTCTGTTGCACAAATGAAGTCTAGCGGTTACACTGTGTGTAGAACTTCTGCAAGTAAAACTGAATTTGAACATCAAGAGCAGAAAGTGGAATCAATGGACAGATATTTAGGTAACTGATTGTTTTAATTTTTTCTACTAAAGTAGTAACATATATTTATCATTGTTGGCAGGTTTAAAGTTCTTCCCGATATAGATGTTTTTGTTACAAGATATTAGTAGGTGCTCTGCTGAGTTATTTAGTAATGTCTTTCTGTATCACTTTTTAACTGCTAGCCTTATTTTTCTGTCTTGCCAGGTGATGGGTTGTATTGTAAATCTAAATACATAAAATGTAAATCCTTAAAAGTCTTGACAGGACTGTTCAGAAAAAGTAGGTAAAAAAAAAATACAAACGTGATCGGGGAATTCGAAATACCATGTAGAAGATTTGGTTCTGTTAACAACTTAACTTTGTTAATATTGTAGCCATTAAATCTGTCGATCTGAAAAAAACCCACATTGAAATGAAAGCAGTATTAAACTAGCTAAATAAATCTGAGTAAGTCTAATGATTGTTGTTAATTTCATAGAGCTGAGAAACTTGGCGCTGAGTAAAATCACAGCAAATTTTACAACTTTGTAATTTATTTTTTTTTTAATTCCAGTATCCTTCAGCGCAACTGTATTCCTTCAGAGATTTGGAATAACCACATCTTTGATTTTATCTTTCTCCTAATATTAGATGGTGTCCCAGAAGTGGCATATATTCATTCAAATCAGAATGTGGTTGGATCCAGCAAGGCTGAGAATCACTTGAGCCGGTGGGCAGTACGAGACGTATTTGAGTTGAAGCAGTTTTCCCAGCTCCCTGCTAATGTTGCAGTCTGCAGTGCCAAGGTAAAGAGAAATGTTTGGGAAATGTTGTTTTTGCTCTTTTTTTAATTCTCATTTTTCATCTTAAGAATCTCTAACAAACTTGTTATTCTTCTAATGGCCACCATGAATGATCAAAGCCACAGAGGATGGGCAGAGGAGGAGACTCAAATGGAGGTCTAATAAATTACTTCTGTGATTTGGTTTTTGGAGTGGTTTTTACATTGGCCAGCTCTGAAAGAGTTGGGAATTAAGCAGCACAGCATCCTCTGTGGGATTTTTCTGTGAGAGAAATGATAGGATTAGAGATTGGGTGTTTGAAATCAAATTCTATCCCATGTTTCTCTGATTTGAGAGTTGAAAAAACAAGTTTTCTTAACTTAGATCCAGTTAACACAGTACATGCCACAGTACATGCTGGAATCTCTGTAGCATAGAAAGTCAAACATAAATCAGTTTGCAGGTTTTCCTTGGGGG